TTTTTTTTTTAGCAGAGGTGTTGTTTTACCATATTGGCCAGGATGGTCTCGATCTCTTGACCTCATGATCTTCCCACCTCGGCCTCCTAAGGTGCTGCAATAACAGGCATGAGCCACCGCACCTGGCCAAATTTGTGATTTGTTATACCAATATTTTGTATGTCTGAATGAATAAGCATCAAATAAAAAAAATTTATGTAAGCTAGTTAACCAAAAATCACCCCGTACTCATGGACATTTTTTCATGAATGTGTTCATTTCTGTTGGTATACATTTCCTCATTTCAGTAATTAATGTATATTTGAACCTGGAAACTTATCCTCATGGCAGAAAGTGTTCAGTCACATCTCTCAGCTTCACTGGTGTAGGTAGAGCAGGGTCTGTGAACTTGGCCTGTTTGAATAAAGCCTGATCTTTAGGGACTCTCCTCAGGGAGAGTGACACAGAGCTGCTGAAGCCCCTGATCACAGGGGCTCAATAGGTTTTGTTCACACACCCTGGTTCCAGAAGACTTACAAAGAGGAAATCATGACTATTTTTAATTGTAGCATTTTAATATTTATTTTTAAAAATGATCTTTATGAAAAAGAATGTGTGATTAATAGAATAGTTTGGGTAAAATTGAATCCATTTTATCAATAAAATAGGCTTTTAATTATGTAATAAATCCTTTAAAACAGATGTTAAATATAATACCATCATAAGTGGATCCCACTGTACTGGCATGGTCTTGAATATGTTATGAAAATACTGTTTGTTTAGAAGAGTTTCAAAACATTTGAGAGGGAAGAAGGCACTCTTCCACTGACCATTAGTGTGCATTTTAGTTGCATTCTGGCTTGACTCTTTGTATTTCTGCATGATGCCTCTAGTACAAGGCCAAGGCCTCCATGTCTCATGTTTTTGCTGCTCCCCTCCTCTGCCATCCCTCTTCTACTCAGCAGAATAGCCCAGCATCAACTCAGGCCATGCTTGTTAATCAACCACTTGCATACACCACATCCAGCAAAGCTCCCTGAGTGACTCACAGTCACAAACACCCAGGGCACTGATCTTTCCTCTGTGTCCTTCTAGCTTCTCCTGAGGACAACCTGAGTTTAGTAGCCCTTCCACGAAGTGAAGATAGTGATTGTGATGATGATGAGGAGGAGGAGGATGATGATGCCCAGGTAAGATCACCTTTCTTTGTCTTTTAAGGAAATGTTGGTTTTCTGATGTGAGAAACAAACTCACCAGTCCAAACCCAAAGAATAGACTCAGGGAGCTGAAAAACAGCAAAAGTAAGATTTTCTTTCTTTTCTTTTCTTCTCCTCTCTCTCTCTCTCTCTTTCTCTCTCTCTCGTCTCTCTCTTTTTCATCTCTCTCTCTTTTTTTTCTTTCTTTTTTTTTTTTTAAGATAGAATCTCACTCAGTTAGCCAGGCTGGAGTGCAGTGGTGCAATGTTGGCTGAGTGCAAACTTCTGGTCTCAATAAATTCTTCTGCCTCAACCTTCTGAGTAGCTGGGATTACAGACATGTGTCCCCATGCCAGCTAATTTTTGCATTCTTAGTAGAGACGGTGTTTCACCATGTTAGCCAGGCTGGTCTCAAACTCCTAGCCTTAGGTAATCAGCCCACCTTAGCCTCCAGAAGTGCTGGAATTACAGGCATGAGCCTCCATGGCTGGCTGAAAGTGAGACCTTTAGTGACAGTGTTGCCAGATTCGGTGTCTGATGGGCAGACCCGCCCAGCACAGTTTCAATAAGCAATTTATCCCCTAGTGTGCAGGTCCCTCCCCTGGTTCCTCATAGACTGAGTACTGTGGAGTCACAATCTTCCCGGGTGTTGCCTATTGATTGTTGTGGAGGGGCTTCAGACATTTTTCTAGGGTTGTCTTACTGCATTGTGTTGCAGCCCACAATGCATTGCCATCCTAGTAAGCTCAGGGTTCTTCAAGTATTTGACTTATGACCTAAGTAGCTGGGCAGGCTGATAAGAACAAAGTGAGCAATTTGTAGGCTAGTAAACTTTCATCTTAGACTAATCTTCTTTGGTTGAAGCGAGGGCAACTAAGTAGGGAGGAGGTGGGCCCTGAACATGCAGGCATTGCCTCTCCAAACAGGAGCCTAGTATATCCTATTTCTTCTGTACTTTGCTGAACTAAACCGGTTCAAGGTACTTTGTCTTAAAAATGGACCACTGTGGCCAGGCACGGTGGCTCACGCCTGTAAACCCAGCACTTTGGGAGGCCGAGGCGGGCAGATCATGAGGTCAGGAGATCGAGACCATCCTGGCTAACATGGTGAAACCCCATCTCTACTAAAACTACAAAAATTAGCCGGGCGTGGTGGCGGGCACCTGTAGTCCCAGCTACTCAGTAGGCTGAGGCAGGAGAATGGTGAGAACCCAGGAGGTGGAGCTTGCAGTGAGCCGAGATCGCGCCACTGCACTCCAGCCTGGGAGACAGAGCGAGAGTCCATCTCAAAAAAAAAAAAAAAAAAAAAGAAACTGAGTAAAGGCTGGGCACCCACGTGGTAGCAACAGGGCCAGTGGTAGGGATCTAAAAGCACCTCTAGGTCATTGGTTAAGAAACAGGCTGGGTGTAGTGGCTCATGCCTGTAATCCCAGCACTTTAGGAGGCCAACGTGGATGGATTGCCTGCGCTCAGGAGTTTGAGACCACCCTGGGCAACACGTCAAAACCCTGTCTCTACTAAAATACACACACAAAAAAAGGCTTGCAGTGAGCCGAGATCATGCCACTACACTGCAGCCTGGGTGACAGAGCAAGACTCCATCTCAAAAAAAAAAAAAAAAAAAAA